GGTTATTTTGGACCTAGGTATTTGAAAAACGGTAAAGAGAAAATATGTTTCTTTTATCAAGATCTACCAGCCCTGAAAATATTTGAACTTATTTAAGACTCACCCTGTTTAAATATGTAAGGTAAAATCATGCTGAAACAAAGGTTTGAGAAATATATTTTTTTAGAAAACATTTGAGCTAATACAGTAAATCTGCTGGATCTGTGTCTATGAAAGGAATGCGGACAAAAAACATTTAAATAAACAGCAATATATTTTATACGTCGACTTGACGAATACGTCACCGCAAATCGCTCCGCCCACTCATTTTATTACATTATTACTTGCAAATTTGTCGAAGTTTTATTGACGGGACGCGTCGTCTAATTTTTTACGAAAAACATCGAGAGAATAGAGAACAACGGCATACGGTCGAGTCGGCCTACAAACACGTAAACGTTTACGTACGCATGCGCATTTCTTATATTTTTTATTTTTTATACACGTAAAAGATTCTTTACGTCTACGTATACGTGCCAGCAGCGGCCGACTCGACCGTATGCCGTTGTTCTCTAATATCGTTTCCCCTCTCACGGATACCCCGTAGCTACAGAACGGACAGACGTACTGTAAAAGCGTATGTCTTCAAAATCAACATAAGATTTCCTTCAAATTTTGATATTTTCAAATATTTATGATCCCATTTACGGTTTTTAATAAATGAATGCGTTTCTGAAGCCTAATTTTGAAGAATTCTATTTGAAAGAGTTGTTTCTTTTTGAATTATATATGAATAGAACTTTATTCCTCCAATTTTATTTACTAAATACATTTATATACCGGGTAAGTCTCAAAAGTGGCTCACCCCTATAACTTTTTTATTTTTTTAGTTAAAAAAACGAGATTTCGTATGATAGTATATGACATAAATTAGGATTGATTGACGTATTTAATTGTTTTTGGTCACTTCCGGTTTCACCGGAAATGACTACAACTTTTGATTTTTAAATGACACTCCGGTATTTTTTTACTCTATTCGTTAGAAAATGTCACTCTGAATAGAATAACATATCATATGTCAACTTTTGACATTTTCTCATATGGTTTATTTGAAATTATAACTTGCGGTTCGTAACGAAAATTTGACTCGAAATACCAAGTGTGTGGTATCAAATTATTCGTAAAAAAATGCTTTTTCCATATATGCTAATGTGCCACCCTCGTTCCATTTGAAAAAATTGAGATATGATTAAAAATACGATTTGTGCATTTTCTAACTGGCCAGGACAAGACACTAAAAACATTAGACGAACAAATCAATTTTTCCAAGGCTCCTTGATGTAGAATTAGTGTTTTTAACATAGCCATGGCACTCTAGATTGAATTTTAAAATACAATTTTTTATTAAGCGAGAATGTCAAAAGTTGACCTATGTTATGTCATTCTATTCAGAATGTCATTTTCTATCGAATAAAGTAAAAAAATACCGAGGGTGCCATTTAAAAATCAAAAGTTGTAGTCATTTCCGGTGAAACAGGAAGTGAGCGAAAACAACTGAATACGTCAATCAATCCTAATTTATATCATATACTAACATACCAAATCTCGTTTTTATATCTAAAAAAATAAAAAAGTTATAGGGGGTCAGCCACTTTTGGGACGCACCCGGTATATGAACAGCGTCCCCTACAATTTCCAAAATTAAAAGGGAATAAAATGAAAAATATTTAACTAATATTTAAATTTTGACTTTTTAATTTTTAAGCTACATTGTTAATGTAGTATATTTTAATTTTAAACACACATTTTTTAACCAAGTTAATTTAATCATGCATTATTAAATTTGACTAACAATTTTATTTTTTATGTTCATTTATTATTATTTTTCTTATGTGGAATAAGTTTATTTTTTGTTTTTATATTTTAAATTACTTGATATACTTACATAAAGCTATATTATGTTTTTAGTGTGTTTTTTTATCTTAATATAAGGGCCCCAAAAAAATCTTGCGGGGGTCCCTCACATTTCAAATTACGCTACTGGTTTTAAGTGCCTTGAAATCTTAAAACATAAATAACCAAAAATGGATTAATTTCTCAACAGTTTTCCATACATATAGTCGTGAAAATTGGCGATTTCTGTTATTGTTGTTATTTACTAATTAAAAATGCGTAGAATAAGAAAATATATGCCACTGTAGTCTTACGAGAACAGTGATGGATGTAGGAAACGTTTTAACCCTCATCAAAAATAACTCAAAACAAGGATTCAAAAATTAATTTTCTCCCAAACCAAATAATATCTAAGCCTTTAAAGGTGTATATATTCTGAACCTACATAAAAAGTTCTACAAATGCTGAAATCTTCATAATTTTATTGCTATGATTACAATCCTTCTAGGGCCTTTAAAAATGTGTAATAAATAGCCGAAAATGCAATAGACAATTTTTCAGTCATGAAAATTGGGATTCTGGTGAAATCGTCGATTTTTATGGAGCTACTATTATTTACTAATTAAAAGACGTAAAATAAGAAAATATAGGCCATTGTATATAAGAAAACTAAATTTAAGTACATTCGAAAGCACCGGGGCTTGGAAGCGTGTAAAAAATAGCCCCGAAAAAAATATCAATAGTGAATAAAGCAGGTGGCTGAAGCATCTTAACTATTGAAAAGTCACTAGAAAGACCCTCAATACTCTAATGAGACCCTCAAACTCCGATGTGAAGTGTGTTCGTCACATGCCTTTCTATATAATCTTGGAAAACGACATATTCCCGTTTTGTTACCTTGGCGCGTTATGAAATTCAACATTATGCTTTCCTTCTTTTTTCAGTCCCCTAGTTATCCCTGCTGAAAAAAATATTCTCAAATATTTCTTTTAGTCGGACGAAAAATCTCTAATAGTGTCCTAAAAAAGGTTCTCACAAAAAAAATCGTAATAAGCAAACCAAAAAAATTCTAAACCTATGGGTTTTAAATTGGAATTAAAAATTAAAAAAAAAACTAGTTCGTAGATTATTTATTTTTTCATTTACCAGTGAAAGATAATGATAAATTACATTAGGAATATAGCTGAGTGTAATGGATATTCTCCTGCATATTAGTTGATGAAATAATCAGAAAACAATTTCATTCATAAAAAATAATTTCATTCGCTTTCACAAAATTTGTATTAAAATGTCAATATTTTTGATAAACACGTGGACTGGTTACAAACACACGTCGCATCACTACGTACATATATCTAACATATACGTATTATACAGGGTGAGTCTTAAATAAGTGCAAATACTTTCAGGGCGGGTATATCTCGATAAAAGAAACATATTTTCTCTTTACCGTTTTTCAAGTAAGTCTAAAATAACCAAGATATTTTACTTTGAAAATTTCCAAAAAAAATGATTTTTTGCTAAAATTTTGAGAATCACTGGATCTTTTTTGAATTTTTTTTCTTGTAAATTTAATCTACTACCTATGCTGTCATATTATCAACAAATTACATTTTTTAATTAAAAACTAAAAAAAAGTTCAAAAAATTCCAAATTTTCAAAATTTTCTTTTCACGAAAAAACCTCATAATCGTGTTTCTGGAGTCGAAATATAATACCCCTAAAAATATTTGAACTTATTTAGAACTCACCCTGTATATAATATTTATACATATATGATTTCTAAGCTGTATGTGTCTCAGCCTTGAATTTTTACTCCCAGCGCGCGTAAAGAAGTTTCACTTCGATAAAAAAAATTCATATTTTGAACTATATTTATTACTTTGGACCTTCTATAAACGTCCTGTATGTAAGCTAGCGAATACAAGAGACGAACAAGGATAATTATAAAAATATTGCGCCTTATAGTAAATTAGATAAACAGTTTAAGCTTTCCCCCAGCCATTCCGTAAAATAATGTTTATTAAATGTTATAAAATCTTACAGATAAGGCCGAAAACGTGTTTTATAATGGAGGAGAAGCTAGCAAAAATATTTACTTAACCGTTAACCTGGACTCAAGCATGCTTAATCTTGGTTTCCATTGGCGTTTAAACCTGCCTTGCTAAGTCTTTGCCACTTATATATTAAAAAAAGCATATTTAGCGTGGAAAGTTCAGGCAAAGTAAATAAAGTAAGCGTAGAATCGCATTTGAAAATTGCCATCAAATTTAAGCTAAAATTTTTGATAGGCATGTTAATAGACGGCGTGCTCGGTGTATAAATTTCCAACATCAAAGGTATCTGACTTAAATTACGAAATAAATGGTGGAGCTCGAAAAGTTTATCCTTAAGTAATCTTACTTGATTATATCGGTATTCCGGAATGGCGTAGAGGCGTAAAAAAGAAAAAAGAGATAACAGACTCAGGATATTCGCTAATTCCACTAGTTCAAGTAAAAAGAAAATCTTTTTCTCCTTTCTGTTTCCGCTTTTCAACACTTTAATAACAGAAAAGCTACTTTGAAAATTAAATTAATAACCAAACTAAGAAAAATCTAAACACGTGTTCCGGAAATTATTATTATATTTCTTATTATTTTAGTAAAAAAAATATACAAGAGGAAACATAATCTAAGAATTTGAATTAGTCTATCACATATAAAAATATTTTAGAAATATATCAAATATTTTTAATATACTTCACGTACCTACTTACCCATGCGTATAAATATTAATATACACGTCATCCTCAGACATCCTCAATATTAATTAAAGTCGTGTCATTTCAGTCAATATATTCAAACAAAATAAATACTCTCGATATTTATAATCATCTCTAGATATAAACAAAAAAGAGACTTCAAAGAATGGTATCAAATGAATTAATGTTATCTGCTATTAATTATTACAAGTTTAATTTTTTTAGCAAAAAAGTTCTACTAGCATAGACAACCTTGTAAACCTTATCTATAAAAGGCTATAAGTAAATGCAATTTGATTTATATGTAGATATTAAATATTTATGTTTATATACTTTTGATCTCTATTAGATGGTTAGCTAGCTTTTCTTTATAAAAAAATGTTTGTATATTTGTCACTAAGTAATTTATTTAATCATATCTTTTAGAATTATAATAGTAATATAGATCTTTGTTTTCCTTGAAGTAAAACTGGTGAAGCCATTTCTTAATCTGGTTCTGGTGAAACTTTCTGGCGTTTTGTACACTTTCCGAGTCCAGGGCGTTGCTTCCTCTTAAATCAAAATGATGGGCTCCATCTGGAATGACTATGGCCGCTATCTCGGAAGAGACATTTTGCAAAACACCACCGCTGGACCAGGGATCTAATAAGCCGTTGCTAAATACGATATTCGAAGCTGTTTCGATATTTTTGCCACCAAATTCTAAGATAGGGACTTCCTCGTTTCTTGGACGAACTTTGTATTGTTCGTAGCAATCATCGGAAAATTTCTTGAAATCCCACTCGGAATTTTCAAACATATCTTCATCCGTAGAACACATAGGCATGATCATGTCCGTACAAGACTAAAACAAGAAACATTAGATAAAAACCACTCAATTTTTATATTTAAATTTCCTGTCTTTTTTACCTGAAAATTCCAGCCAGTTTCACCCAGACTAGAAGAGGCTGTTTGCAAAATATCGTTGCATTTAGTTGTTCCCGTATAATTCGTATAAATTTCAAGACCAGTAGTTATAGCTTTGAGTACACCATCATCATCTTTATATTCAACACTGTCCACTTTACTGCAGAACTCCCTTACGGGGTTTCCGGGCAAAGGTACCAGGAAACTGGTTGGGTATGGATAATTTACCATCACCATATTAGTTATTACTTCATTGACCCAATTCAATAATACTTCAACGTCATTTTGAGAAGTAAGGTTCTGACAAAGACTAAATTCTTTTGATATAGTTATCTTCCCTTCCGTTGTGTTAGTCTTACTTCTAAAAAGAAATTTATAGGTTTATTACAAATTATTGCACTTGCTTTAGTTTGTTTGCCTTATGATGCTCCATATTTTCTTGATTGTTTCCACGCATTTCTCGGAACCTAAACTTCTGACAACGTCAGTAGTAACTTTATTAAAGTTTTCACAAGGCGTGAGTCCTTTGAACTGCCAAATAGGGGCTGAGCTAGCTATGGCCCCGGTGACACTATAAGGGTATTTCATTCTCAACCACGACGAAAGCATTCCTCCATAGGAGCCCCCAAAAGCTACTACGGGAACCTTTTCTAAAGACGATTTGTTCGCATATTGTTGCTGCAGATCATCGATTAGGTAAACAAAATCAGCCAGTGCTTGCTGTGCGCTGAGATACCCTAAGTACTCTGGTGAAGAGTATGATAAATTCCCGAATGGAAGGGTCTCACCATAATAACTAAAATTTATAGTATAGTAGATATAATTCAAGTTAGTAAAGTACCTATATATTTATACCGGTGCTCGGCAAATATAATTAAAGAATCAAATTGTTTGGCTAAATCAAACATAAAACCAGTATTCTGAGCGAACATGGATATGTCTCCTTCATTTCCCGTGTAAAAAAAAATTGGATGATTATCCACATAATAACTATCGTTTACCAAGTACCTCAGTTTGAATGTCTTATTATTTGTAAAGCTAAAATATAATTCGAAAAATACATTGTATATTATATTTTCGTAGATATTGTCTTACCTAAAATGATCTAAAGGAACTTCTATGTATTTTGTATCAAAACCATATTCGTCACAACAAACAAAGCAAAAGAATATGAACAAAATATAATACTTCATTTTGTAGCTGTAATCTAATAACTGAACCAATTTATTTAAGTACAGCGCTTAATATTATTACTCGACCTCTTGATAAACTCAATCAAGTGTGTTTAACAATATAATCGTTGATAGTTGTGATATGCCTAATCTACAAAGAACCCAAAAGCGATTAAATGTATACTTAACTGTTATTAGTAAAATAATTTACATATTCATAATTAAAATTATTACAATATTTTCCATATATATTTCGATTCTAAAATGACATATTTATAGAGAAGAAAATTTAAAAAGCGTTTAGCTTCAGATAGTCTCTGCATAAATATCTATATATAATTTTCAAATTTAACCAAGATTCCCGGGATTCCCTCTAATTATTTGTCCAAAAAGTCATTTAAAGGTAGGCAACTCAATATACCCCATAATTTTTTCAGAAAGTCCCCGCTAGTTGGCGCAAAAGTTAAAAACATATGTTCACACAGTGCCTTCTATTAAAAGATCAGCCTACGGGCGAGATTTATGACGTCACGCTAGTTAGATATAACGGATTAATAAATTATATGTTGTAGAATACATGGAAAACATAATTATTCCTCAGATTTTTGGTTTGTATTTTAAAAATGATATAGTTTACATAAAATATACATAATATACAGTTAATAACTACAACATATATACCTATTTATAGTAATAAATACTTTGGCAAATAAACTATGAACCATACAAATGCAGCAAATGTTTTACAATGTACCAATAATGTATAGGTACATAAGATAATGGGTAAAATGTAAATATATTTTAAATTTTGGGGTTTGAAAATCGATCTAATTTAACAAAAAACATTCAATATCTACTAAAAGTGATGTATTATTATTTGCATTCACAAAATTTATATGTATATTTTGCAAGTATCAATGTTCGAAAAATTATATTTACAAATACTACAATATTATCTAAAAAAAGACGTCAGCGATGGCTATGAAATGAAGATCGCTGGCATTTTATATGTAAAATTATTCTAAAATTTTTGATTTTCTTGGGATTTTTAGGTTCGGGAAAAACGCTGATTTAAGTTTTCATTTGGGTTTTCATTATTTTTATTTGGTAAAAAAACGTTTCGGCTAACTATAGCCTTCATCAGTGTTGTGTCATATGAGAAAAATAGTGTCGAATATAATCCAAAAAATTACATATACAATATAATTCACACCTCATAATGTTTACTGCAATTAATAAACTAATATAAACTTATCAAAAGATGACTACATATTTTTTAAAATTATTATTCTTAACAATAAAATTATCTACATTGACTATGGGTACGCAGTAAACATTATGTGTGTGGTGTGAATATTTTATATGTAATTTTTTGGACTATATTCGACACTATTTTTTTCATATGACACAACATTGATGAAGGCTATAATGTTAGCCGAAACGTTTTTTTTTAAACCAAATAAAAATAATGAAAAACCAAATGAAAACTTAATCAGCGTTTTTCCCGAACCTAAATCCCAAGAAAATCAAAAAATTTAAAATATTTAGAAACAAGGTTCAAGAATATCAAATTTTCCAAGATTGTAAAATTCTAGTTAATTATTTTATGTGTACAGTTATTTAGGGAATGTCATCGATGTTCATTTCCAAGCCAACTAGACGCCGATTTTTTTCGATGATACGGTATAATTCTTACGTAAAATGTAAATAACATTAGACCAATTAAAACAAAGAAATATGAATTTCTTAGTATTTTTAGTAACACCTTTATTCTTAAAACTTAATTTTGTATTATGCAAATATACCAATTTTGTTGTTATTTTATTCATATTGTATTCAGCCATCACTTAAATATTTGATATTAATTTGGTATTATAAATAATCAACACTATTCATTAAAAATTAGTGAACAAAAATGTATGTTATGCTTGACAACTTGACATACATTACATATTATCAAACAAAAACACATTCTTCTTTTAAACTGTATCAGGCTTGTCTTTACAAAATCTTTTTAAAATTTGAACTCAAAATAATAATCTTTTTCATGATCTTTAATACACATATTCTTTATTTTCCCTAGATCATAATACCTACTTAGGTGTTTGAATCTATCGAAGCTGAACCAACAACACTTGGAATGGGATTCCACAATATGAATAAAATAAACATAATTGTCCAGTTTTCATTAATACTATCATGGGAGAATATTATTTTTAAATTTATTAAAGATATTTTCAATAGAATTCTCTTGATTTATAACTCGTACCCACTTTTCTTGCTCTTCCGGACACTTTAGGCTGCCTAGCATAACTATCCTTTCCACCAGGAACACAACAAAGATGAGGCATAGCACCAAAAACACACTCCACTTAAGCTTTATTGATGAATTGTTAGAGTCTTAAAAAACACACACAAAAATCACGATGAGTACAAAATGTATGGGCACTTTTAGGTTAAATCACTTACACAACGTGTAATTTTTCAATTTTTCTATTTTTTTATGCGAAACCGAGAGTGACCATATATCTGGTAGTAGTTTATGTCACTTAAACAGCAAAATAATTAGTTTTTGGCACTACAATAATAAATAATACCAAAAATCAACCGACAAAATATGAAACGGAATCTAACCCAATATCTAAGTATGTACAGCTGATGAAGTAAACAAAAGTCCGCCCCCAGGCTGATCTTTTAAAGAACGGCAGTGGTTCACATGTCATTCGTAAATTTTTTGACGTAACTTTGCAAATGGCGACTTGACACTGCAAGAGGTAAACAGGCACAAGTTTAATTCTGAATTTTATATTTAATAAAATACAAAATTTAAATGTTTTTCTACTGAAAGCAATTAGCTGAAAATTTCCTTAAAATGGATTCATGATAATTCGAGTTTTTGCTTTTAAATCGTATAAACAAGCATGGAAGAAATGGCTGCCTCTCAAGAAAATGATTCAGAAATGGATTGTTCTGACAATGAAGATTGTTATGACTACAATGACTATTACAATGATGAAGACAGTGATGTTGAACACATAGATCTACTGAAAATTGATCCAGAATATTTTGAATATAAATGTTTGTCTGAGGAGGAAATTGAAAGGCTTCTTAATGAAACAGTTGAAGATCTTAGTAATCGCCTTAGGATTTCTCTTTCTTTAGCTAAAGTAAGTAAGATATGTGTACTGTGCTTAATCCAGAATTGTCGAGTTATATCAGGTTAAAAATAGAGTGGAAAATAATCATGTGCACAAGATTTGATAACAGAATTATAGTAAACAAAGAATGTAAACTTTATTTTAGGTCTTATTACATAGTCATTATTGGAATTCAAATGAAGTAATAGTTAAATACGAAGAAAATCCCCAGCAAACTCTTATTTCATCTAGAATAGATCCTCCTGTTCCACCAAGAAACATTATTTTTACACCAACACATATGACATGTCCAGTCTGTGTTACATTGCATCACGTAGATAGATTTTTTTATTTGTCTTGTGCTCATATGTTTTGTAAAGATTGTTGGACTATGCATTTCGAAGTGCAAGTAAATCAGGTAAATTAAATTAAGTTCTTAATAGAATACTTGAATACTATAAAATTATATATTATTTAGGGAATATCAACAGCAATTAGTTGCATGGCAAGGGACTGTGTAGTTCTGGCTCCAGAAGATTTTGTTTTGAAACATCTTCAACATAAAACAAGCATTAGGGAGAAATATCAACATTTTACTTTTCAAGATTATGTAAAATCACATCCTGAACTGAGATTTTGTCCTGGTCCAAACTGTTCTGTTATTGTACATAGTAATGAAATCAAAGCTAAACGAGTTGTTTGTGATCAATGTAAAACTATTTTTTGCTTTAGGTAAGTGTTAGCATTTCAGAATTGTAGTATGTGTTATTACTAATATATTTTAGGTGTGGATGTGATTATCATGCACCAACAGACTGTCAGGTTATTAAGAAATGGTTAACCAAATGTGCAGATGACAGTGAAACAGCAAATTATATTAGTGCCCACACTAAAGACTGTCCAAAGTGCCACATATGCATAGAAAAAAATGGAGGATGTAATCACATGCAATGCTACAATTGCAAACATGATTTTTGTTGGATGTGCCTAGGAGACTGGAAATCGCATGGGTCAGAGTACTATGAATGCTCAAGATATAGAGAAAATCCAAATATAGCTCACGAATCAGTCCATGCACAGGCGAGAGAAGCATTGAAAAAATATCTCCATTATTATGAGAGATGGGAAAATCATTCTAAATCTTTAAAATTAGAGGAGCAAACCCTTGGAAAACTAAGGGCTAGAATTAATGAGAAAGTTATGTCTGGCTTAGGTAACTGATACATTCCTGTGCTAATTGTATAACATCTTTCAGTGCTTGTCTTTTAGGTACCTGGATAGACTGGCAGTATTTGTTTACTGCAGCAAATCTGTTAGCTAAATGTCGCTATACTCTACAATACACATATCCTTTTGCCTATTATATGGATGCCGGACCCAGAAAGGAATTGTTTGAATACCAGCAGGCACAGCTTGAGGCAGAAATAGAGAATCTAAGCTGGAAAATTGAGAGAGCCGAAACAACAGATAGAGGGGACTTAGAAAATCAAATGGATATAGCAGAGAAAAGAAGAACTACACTTTTAAAAGACTTTTTAGATGTGTGATATATTTTGATTATTAGATTTGTTTTTCTCTTTGAAAAGTTACAGTTGCCAATTTTTTCAGGCTCATTTTTCAACTATTAAATGACTGTGATTCTCAGATATAATCGAGCAAGTGAGAAATGTCTTACTAAATTAGGCTTGGAGTGGAAAATTTATATATGCATTATTCTAATTCCTCAGAATTGAAAAAAGTAAGGTATTTTTTTATACAGGGTGTTTCAAAGAAACATGTGCTATCTCTTGTGGGGAGATTTCTCAAGTAAAAATAAGATTTATTTATTATATCAACATAGGTCCGATTCTGCTTTGTCTCTAAGCTATAGGGGGTTAAAGTTTCTATTTTTTTTTTCAATTTATTATAATTTGCTTCCAAGTGTTTTGAGCAATTCAAATGAAATTTTGAAAGTAAAAGTTCCTGTAAGTGCGACATATTTTAATGCTAAAAAAGTGTCCATATATTCACCAGGGACATGCATGTGGATTATCACTGGAATATTTTTCTAAAAAAACATGACGCTGCTGACTTTTTTCTCTTGTTTCCAAAAATTGTTTAATCCAAGTCTGATAGCAACCTTTAAAATGTTTTAATATCATTAACTGGCCAAAGTGTTAAATAAGTACCCATTGCTTCCTCGTCAATAAATATGAAAAAAAGTTCCTATAAAAATTCCTCTTAAAAAATAGGTCTTTTGTTATCATCAATACCATTATTTTTTATCGTAATTTGCTGTCGGTAGCACTAAACATCAGTGTTATAAATTTTAACCAAATCTAATAATAAATTAGGTTAAAAAACTAATTTATTAATTTTATTTTAATTTTATTGTCACTGATAAATTTGGGTTTATCTAATTAAGATCAAAATCAACAAAATACCAACAACAAAGATACAACTTTTAATCGGCATCAAACGGCCTACACAATTTTGCTAAGAGAAAAAAAAATCAGTTGCACTTTTTTTTCTTCTCTATATTCCAGTGATAACTCATATGCATGTCCCTGGTGAATATGTGGACACTTTTTTAGCATTAAAATATGTCGCCCCTAAAGAAACTTTTACCCTTAAAATTTCATTCGAATCGCTAAAAACTCAGAAAATTATAATAAATCGAAAAAAAATGAAGACTTTAACCCCCTGTAACTACGAAACAAAGCAGAATCGGACCTATATATATATAAACAATAAATCTTATTTTTACGTGAGGAATCTCTCCTTGACAGATGACACATTTTTTAAACACCCTGTATATAATTTTGTAACTATTAATTTTTTTTTATATGGAGGTTAAAGTGCAAAGTAAATTATAGAGTGGCTAAAATTATTTCAGAAATATTTAGTTAGAATCTAAAAGACATTTATTTTCCTTTTCTAAGGGATTTATAAAGTGAATAGGTATCAATTTAAAAAATAGGTTTTAATTTTTTTAATGTGCAGATATACTAATTTATCTAAATTTTCTAAGAGAAGTTTCATTAATATTATATTCAAAAATATAAAGCATCAAGAAATATATATACAAAAAGTGATCCAAGCCTTAGTGTATTTGTATTGCATTAAAAAAATATTTTTGCATATTAACGTAAGGTTTATTGTAAAGTTGAGAAGGAGTCCACAAAATATTTTTCCAAGCAATAATGAGGAACTGTCCTGTTTGCATCCAGAGATTCTAAATAGTGTTGGCACCTTCCCATGTTTTTATAGATCAACTAGTACTTATACGAAATTTGAAACGCATGGTTTATTTTTCAGTTCGACTCTTAGTAATAATTGGAATCAGTGGATTCGTTTTTGATTGCTTTTAAGACCTTCCCATATAAGTAAGTCAAAGTTGTAGTTTTATAAGAGTTTTTACATTAATAAAACATACTTAAGACAAGAATATTAAGTAAATCGTATTTATAAATTGTCGGTCCTGGTAATTTTATCTATTGTTTTTTAATCTGGTTTGAAAGAGGCTTATTGGAATACTTGCATCCAATTTATATAATTGTTCCATCTGAATGTCTTCATGCGCTTATCTTAAACATTTTTTTTACTTCATAATTGTATTTTCTGTGAATTATTGGACCATTTCACTGTATTTTTATTGAAAAAATTTATATTTATTAAGTCAGATAGATATATAGATATTATTTTCTCATGTTAGGAAACAATTTTTGCAATATCTAATGCTGTATATACTTAAGTCAAGTCATAGAGTTTTTCTAACAAAATTTTTCGCTTATATCAGTGTTTATAAAATTTTGTCCAATTTTTACATCTTGTGCAAATGAATAGATTTTAGAGATAGATATTATATATTTAATAAAGAGAGTTTTTTTTCTGTGAGTATTTATACTGTTTTTCTACCTTTTTCAATGAATTATCTGATCCTATTCAAAAATAAATTTCCATAAGAGGTATGTTTTTTCTGCATTAAATAATTGATAAAAACGAAAGTATATTGTCAAACTTTACAGCCACCGGAGATCGGAGACTTATAATTATAAGCAAAGTTGTATAAGTCCAATTTTTAAAAAAAATAGTTAATGGTAATTTCAGTAAGATACAGATACATTATATTTCCATATTTATAATCATACATTCAATAAGTACGATATTTTCATAATGTCAACAAAATAATTTTGACTATAAAATGTTATCACAAAGTTTTTATTTTTTTTGAAAATGGAATAAGTCCATTCCTAATAATTAAAATAATTTTCTTGTTGCAATTATTATTGATTATTGCTACTTCAGTGTAAGCTGCACAAGACTATTATAATGGAGCAAAGGCTTGCCGAAAAAAAATAGCTTTATTCTGTATGAAATGAAAAGAGAATAAGACTGTGTCAACCTAATATATTTGGTCTCAACCAAATCTCTAGAAAAGATAAAGCAAATAGGAAAAAAATACTGACGGAGAAATTGTATACTGGGTTAAAATAATATGCTGGATGAGGTTTAAAGTAGTTCTCATTTTTACACTTTTTTAAATTTGTATAACTGAAAATAATTTTAATAAATTTCATGGCTATTCGTGTATTTAATTATCTTCATTTTAATTATTATTTTTTACATAAAAAAATTAATTTCAGTAAAGCTAATGCCTATAAAAATATGGACTTAAATTTACTCCTGTTTTTATTTCTTGTAATAGGTACCTATGTTATTTTTGAAAGTAGTATAAGTCCATATGGAGTAAAAAAATCGTTTATTTTTTGTAATAAATGTAAAAGTTATTATTTCATAATAAAATTTAAAAGTTTAGTGTTAATATATCACTGGAATAGATTATGGTTTACGAATATTTTAAATTAATTCAAATGGAAAACCTTAAATATCGATACATGGAAAAATGAACTTTATACCACTTTCAAACAGCTCATATACTGTAATAATATGTACCATTATTATATTTTGATTAGTAATTAATAATGATTGATTATGACTGTTGTATCTCAATATAATTGTTTGTTTTGTGCATATCTCTTATTCGCCCACTAATCTAACATATTGCGTGGGAACATTAAACCCCAATTTGCCTACTAAAAAAGCAGATTTTCCAAGATATCACGTCATATAAATGAAATAGGGAAGTCCACTTGCGTGGGTTACTGTATCCAATCCATCCTACGGGATAAGGGAATAGAGTAGCCCCATATAAAGATACCACCGCGTCATGGCAATTGCATTACGACCCCCTTGTCTGCGATTGGAGGTTTCTTCGATCTATGACCGTAAACTTAGATAATATAATTCCAATGCTATAACATAATACCACAACTTATGTCCGAATAGTGCAAATAGCAGATTGATGACGAACATGGCTTTCTCTTTAGAGGAGGCTACTATACATTAGGTCCCAGTGACGTCAGTAGAAGGTAACCTAAAGTGTTTGACATTTGTTCAATTGATTTATTTTTGAGCTGAGCCAAGGATGGCGAACAACCATATGTTACGAAATGTTATTTTTCTAGTTTTTGTGCTTTTTAGCAAAGTGATATGGGGCACCGACTTAAAAAAATTCCCCCTTCTAATGCCGGATATAAATCCTTACAAAGTATGTATTTCTTAGCTGTTGTTACTTCTGAAAAAATACTTGTTAGCTGAAAATCATGATCGCTCAAATTGTTACCTAGTTCTTTCCATATAAATACGTATTATGAATCTGTAAAAATGATACAGGAAGATTCCTGTATATTTATCATTTATTATTTCTTCTGCAGGATGAATTTTATGTATGCACTCCAATAAAAATAGTCTCCGACAAGAATTTTTACATAGGTAAGTATCATGCAAATAATCATAAATGGAAGAAATATTGTATGTAAATTTTTAGTTGGATTTGAACCAAATGCTACCATGAACGTAGTGCATCATATGCTACTTTTTGGGTGTACAACTCCAGGCTCGGATAGTTCATATTGGTAAGAAATTTAAATGAGCAAAATTTAGGTTTATACTGGCTAAAGTGAGTTTGATAGATGTTCTGTTACAATGTGATGTTTTCTAGGGACTGTGGAGAAATGGCTGAATCAGAATCTGATGGAAAATTACAAAAGGCTACCCCATGTAATTCTGGCAACCATGTGATATATGCATGGGCCAGAAATGCAAAGCCCTTGAAGTTACCAAAAGATGTAGGATTTCTGGTTGGAAAGGATTCACCAATAAAATACTTGGTTTTGCAGATACACTACTCTAAAAAATTCCCTGACAGCAGAACAGATAATTCTGGACTCTTTTTGTTATACACACAACGGCCGTAAGTATATAAAAAAGCATGTTTTGCTTTATATAATTATTTCTTTTCATCACTTGAAGACAAAGTAAATTGGCTGCAGTGCTTCTGTTAGCTGCTGGGGGACGAATACCACCAAAGGCTGTTACCTTTATGGATGTGGAATGCAAAATTAATGAAAATAAAGTTATCTACCCCATTGCCTACAGGACTCATACGCATAGCCTTGGCCGTGTTGTTTCTGGCTACCGAGTAACAAGGGATGAAATGGATGTTGATCATTGGCATTTGCTAGGGAAGAGAGATCCATTAACTCCACAAATGTTCTACCCTGTTTTTGATCGAACACCTATTCGTCAAGGGGACAAAGTAGCGGCAAGGTGTACCATGGATAGTTCATCTAGGAATAGGTTTACAGAAGTTGGGTATGAGTCATGTTTTCCAGTTCTAACAGCAATACTTATGAAATATCCTCATTGTTTTAGACCCACCAATAATGATGAAATGTGCAATTTCTATTTATTGGTTTATGTTGAGTATGGTACACCTTTAGAAATGACGAGTTGTTATGATATGGGCCCTCCTAATACTTCATGGGAAACAGACCAGCTCAACAATATTCCAGAGGCCGAAGCATCATCACCATTTAAGTAACATGACCAATTATATATGCTATTCTACTATTTTAAAGTCTTAGAATCTCTGTATTATGAAATTCCAATTTACAGTTTTAATTTTAACAGGTCTTATATACAATCAATTTTTTTTAATTATAATATTAAGACTTGTATGTGTAACTGCAGCATTTATATACCTCAAATAGGTTAAAATGTTCAGTTAAATACACGTCATATACATTTAATCATCACAAATTATTTCTTTATTTAGTAGATCTGAATAGTGGTTTGATCGATCTGAACGTGCTAGTCTTTTTACATTCCAGTATATTTAATTATAATTTAGCTCTACTGTACCTTAACTTCAGGGACTTGTTTCTATCATATCAAACGAAATAATAAACTAAGAGATGTTAGTTCACGGGTTTCAATTTAATATAATAGCCTTATTGGTGTTTTTCTAAAAAAACTTGAATGAAAGAATGATTATAACTTACTAAATAGTAGTGGACGCTGAGAACTCAAATAAAGCTAATATAAACTATCAAACTATAATCTGATACTAAAAAAAAAATATATATATATACGTATATTTTTATTTGAATAATAGGAGACATTATAGATTACATTGAAATTATTTTTTGGTATAGAGAGTTTAGAATATTTAGCTAATATGTATATATAATCTCAGTGACGTAGTCAAGAGGTAGAAAAAGGTCTTTTGTAGTCATAAAAAAGCCCAACTTCATCCTAATGATAATAATAATAAGTTAAAAATCGCTAATGAAAAAATTTGACTTAAATATTCAGTTACCTATATTATTTAATGGTAATACTGTTTTAATTTTATATTCTCTGATAGATTGTATTAGAAAAATAAGGGTAAAATATAAAAACAGTATTTTTTATAATTTTCGCTGTGTATCTACTTTTTAGTGCTATAATTCCTGTGACTTTCTGTGTGATAATTAAAATTATCCTGGCTACATTACTGTGTGATATAGATGTATACATTCCATAAATTTTAATTATATTAAAATTGTAATCAATATCATAGACACTATCAATGTTAGAAGTTTTTTAAGTATTTGTTTAAATTATCAAGAGATTTATTAATATATTTATATATCTATATATTTTTGTTACATTCCATTTGTGTGATTTTTTAGGATAGAATTAGTGAACTTATATTTTATGTTTTACTGTTCTTCTAATGACACTGAATAAACTATTATAAGAATCATGATTATTTTTTATTTAATTATGTTTTAACATTGACAATTTCCACATATGCATGGAAATATGAAATATGTCGGAAGTTTCCATTTTAGATTTTAGACTACTTTTTACTTTACGTGAACACAGCGCCATAAAATGAAAGTTTCAGCATTCGTCGGAAATTTAATGAGCTTTTAGACTGGAATGTAATAAACATTTAGGATTAAGTATATTATATTTATGTCTGTGCCTTGTGCCTGTCTACGGTACATCCCCTAATCCTAATATCCATCCCCACAGATGAGGTGGATGACGAATGATCTCTGTCTCTTTTATTAGCTATAGATCCACAAAATAAAATAATAGTAGGAATAAGCAAAAAATTTGTTCTTTGGTCTAATTTAGACATGTGTCATGTGTCTTGCATGTGTCATACGTCCACAATATCTAAAATGTCAATCATGTCAATTATCGTAAATTTTGTATATCAATTATTTATTAAAGAGAAAATAAGAATATAATAATTAATATTCCTATGGTATACCAAATAAACATATTTATAAACATTCTGTAAAAAACATTCTTGGAGATTCAATAATTTTTATATTCCAATTACTTCCAAAGTTAAGGATAGGCTTTCAACAGGCTTTTAAATAGAAAAGGAAAATTATTTAAAAATGTCATTGAATTTATTATCTCTCGATTATAAGTAATCATGTTTATGACTCGACTTTAAGATTAGTCTAAAAATGGATATTAAAGATTATATTATCATCTGCTAGGAAAATGGGTAAGTCTAATGTTAATACACTGATTCAATCTAGGTAAAGTACTCTATATTCTTCTAGAAGATGTAGCTTCTAACGAGAGATCTATTGTCTATGGGTCTAATGATAAAATGGGTGCCTCGAGTATTGATAAGGCATCTAAATTAGCATGTCTTCAGGAAAGAAAAAGAGAAATTGAAGAAAATTTAGCTAAGCGAACTCATGAGTTAAGACAGCTATGTATTCAGGTACAAAAACCTTGGTTGTGATGTTTTTCTCCTGTTAATTAGTGTAATTAGTGTTTTTATTTTGCTGTTAATTCTGTTGTTTACTTTTTTAGGAAGCAGAACTAACAGGTATTACTCCTCCAGAGATGCCATCAGAGGCTGGAGAAACACCTCCAACTATAAGACGTAAAATAGGAACAGCTTTTAAATTGAATGAAAGTTTGTTAAATAATAACAGTAAGGATCAAATTATTGCTGACTTAGAATTGCAAATACAAGTCCACATCCTCAAAGCCGAAGCTGCCTTGGGTCTAGCAGATTCTGGAAGCATTAGTAAGGTAAAAAATTGATTTTCCATATATTTGAAGCTATAGAAATATTTTTATTAATAATTATTTTATTCCTATTAGACTGTAAAAAGGCAACACAGAGCTGAATACCAAAAACATAAAGCCAGAGTTAATGAACTAGAAAAAAAATTAGCTTTGTTAAAAGAAAAAGCGACAACAGAGCAAATTAAGCAAAAGAAAAAGCCTAGAGTGCCCGATCCCCAAGATGATAATATTTCTGTTATAACAAGTGACCCATACTCAAAGCAAGATCATAGACATAATCTCACATCAAAGCATAATTTAAATAGACTTAGTCCTGCTGATACTTATCCAGATGTGAGGTTTTCTCAGGGATTATCAAGGCAATATAGAAATTCAGAAAGTTTCTATTTGCCATATAAACCAGAAGATGCAGTAACCTCAAGTTTTTACAGGTTGAGTTTAAATGGGTATAATGCTTATATTGAAAGGTACACATTGAAATAGTTATATCAGTATGAGTAAATATCAATTTTTTTGTTCTTTTAGCAGGCGTGAAAATACTTCATCTCATTTTAATTACCAACCTCAAAATTTCTCATATAATTATCCGCACATATCTCATAGCCAGCCCATTCATCTGACTCACCAAGGATCTCAATCCCATAGTCCTTTACTACCCCCCAACAGTCCTCAGATATCGCAGCATAGTCCCCATTTGTCACAAAGTAGTCCTCATTTATCTCAAAATAGCCCACATTTGTCTCAACACAGTTCTAAGTCGCAGCATAGTCCCCACATTCAAAGCCACAGTCCTCAGTTGTCACAGAGTCCATTGTCTAGCTCTCAGAGTTTTATGATGATGAGGGCTTCACATAATTACCAAACCAGGATTAGCCAACAATATCCCCTTCAAAATATTCAAATGCATAGGCAATCTAGTCCAACAGCAAGCAATAACATGGCAAAAATGAATTATTATCCCTTACATACTGTTCATGGAGACACTGGGTATAACAGACACACCATGGATGCTAGTGGATACAAGGCAGCTATGGAAGCTTCTTACAAAGCCCCTCATCCATTACAACCGCATCAGCAATATGAACATAATGGAATGAATTCTGGCTTGGGAGGGTGTTGGAAAAGGGCAGAAAATGGTGAAATGTTTTGGGTATATACTAGCAATACGATTGATAGCAACTGGCAGCGAGACAAAAGGTAACCAGCAACGTTCATAAACATTTCTATTTCATTTTTTTCTATTTTATTCATTTCAGATTTGGCAGTCTGGATAGAAGAAAAAATAGGAGAGTACAACGAAGAATATCACCTGTAGAAGGCAAGTCTGCAACGTTAGCTACCTTACCTTCAAAAGGCGATGAAGTCAAAACAGCGTTTGTTAAACCGTCACTAGTAAGACGCCTTTATTTTGACTTTTATTGTTATTACTACTGTACTGTTGCAGGTAACTACTAGGAGGTCTCAGGATCATAGGCAGTTAGTAAGAACTCAATCGCTTGGTAGCGTAGGGCAAAATATTGATAGTGTATATCCAAGTGATGATGCATCTTCATGTGAAAGTGACAGTCGTAGTCTTAAAGAAAATAAAGGAGCAAGAAAACAGAAAGAAAAAGAATGGTTAGTATTTCTTTAAGTTAATATTATATTTAAAAAAAAACAAAATCTATAAAAAAATATGTAAAATTGATAGCGTGTTTCTAAAATAAAAAAAAAATTGTATATTACAGGGTGTCTCAGAAATAAGTGCAAGCATTTTAAGGGTAGATCCAGTCAGAAGAATCTTTTTTTCTATTTTTTATAATAAATTGAAAATAGCTGAGATATTTAACTGTGAAAATTTAAAAATATAATGCTAATATTTTGATTCTGCTACAATGTGTTGTCAGCCGCATAACTGACATAAATAAAGTTATTTTGCGTAGATCCAATTACTGTAAACTTATAAATATGCAGAATGTGAAAATGTGATGGAATTAAAAAAAAAGTATTTCAAGTATAAGATGAAAATACATTTTTTGTATCTTCTCTGTATTTCAAATACTTGTATCTGAACTATGTCACATCTCTGAATATTAGGGTGTCCGTTATTTCCCAAGTTGATATTTTTTTTGGTGTCCCCTCTGAAGTTTTAGTTTTTGGTCTAAAAAAAATTATCCAACGTAAAAAAGCTCTAAATTTTTAATTTAAAACGCGCCGGAATCATGATACTTTTCCCATTTAAATATCATGGGATTTTCTGACCTTTTGCATTTAATTTTTTATCTCCAAAGTAAATGAACCTACATCTTCTACAAAGACATATTCTTATTACTTATTAATACAAAATTTTACGCTCTACAAAAAAGGTTCCTTTGTTTTTTTCCATAAAAACATTCCTTTAAAAGTTATTCGCCGTCAAAGTTATGCGCATAGTTTATAATCAAGTAAAATTCGATAAAGAATATTTAAGATAAAAACCACTCGAAATTTGTTCATTCTTTTCAATTGACACACATATCTACGAACACTGAAAGGCAATGAAACAATAACCTTAAATTATAGTTTTAATCAACTGATAATAGAAGGCGCAATATTAGTTTTCCATATTAAAGTTGGAAAGGAAATATTGTTTTATTGAAAAAAGTATGGTTCTAGATCCTTTTTTAGTCAAAATCAAAAGGCGCCGTTAAAATTTGCAGTGAATGATAGAAAAACTTGATTATAAACTATGCGCATAACTTTGACGGCGAATAACTTTTAAAGGAATGTTTTTATGGAAAAAACCAAAGGGACCTTTTTAGTAGAGCGTAAAATTTTGTATTAGAATATGTTTTTGTAGAAGATGTAGGTTCATTTACTTTGAAGAAAAAAAATTAAATGCAAAGGTCAGAAAATCCCATGTTATTTCAATGGGAAAAGTTTCATGATTACGGCACGGTTTAAATTAAAAATTTAGAGCTTTTTTACGTTGGATAATTTTTTTTAGACCAAAAACTAAAACTTCAGAGGGCGGCACCAAAAAAAAATATCAACTTGGGAAATAACGGACACCCTACTGAATATATGTATAATGAAATTTGATAACTGGCATTCATTTTAGGCTAGAAACATCTTTAGATGGTCCAATCTCGCCAACCCAATCAATAATTTCTCGATCCCAGTCCACTCTTCCTTCTGTTTTAGCTCCTGAAGAGAAATATGTTCAATCTCCGCCTGCCCCTCCTACCCCTCCAAATTTGCAGCAGCATATTAATGCCAATCCTGCAAGAAAAGGCGCAAATGTACCTGCCCCACTTCAATCACCCCTGTCCCCAAAACCACCCCTAGAAATTCCGGCAGAATCCAACCCTTCTCATCGTGTACCTGAACCGCTAAATATTGAAATGCTAAACAACAATATCCCCAAGAACTGCACAGTTGTCCAGGCTGGTGTGTGTAAACCATACCATGAAGAAACCAAACCGTTTGAGATGTCAGATTTCTACAAATACTCGACCAAATTTAAGAAATCCCCTCAAAAGGAAACTGGAGTAAGCCAATCTAGCATTAGTCCAGCTGTTCAAAAAAATCTGTCCGAGTCTTTTGAGAGTATGGGAAACAACAGTCAGTTTTCAAACCAGCAAGGCAAAATCCCTCAACAGATGGGTCAGCATAGGTAATAAGATATTAGTAATTTAAGTAATAGTATTATTAAATGTGGGGAATTTCTATATACCTAGGTTATAGTTTTGTGTAGTGGTTAGGTAATATGCTGGCCGAAGTTTTCCGAATATAATTCGGACCACCCTATACAATAGATTAAACTTTTTAAAAATATATGACATACTATGGTATAAAATAGTTATCTTGAATACCTATCTACCAGGTCATATTTTATCACCTATACACCAAATCATTTTAAGCTTATATTAAAAAAATATATATACAGGGGTAAATAAATTTGTTAAAATTTTAATCTATATGTGTTCTTGTTTTAGCAACATTACCCATGGCTCATTCAATTCGAGCATGGAACTGTCTCAAGTGACTGTGGCAAAACACTTCTCAGAAGAAATGAATGCCTGGTACAATGACCAAGAACACCTCACTGAAAACAATAACCCCAGTTCGTCAAAAATTCTATCAAACGCCACCCTGGTATAATAGAAATTGAAAATGGGTAAGTGAGAAGGTACAATGCAATAAAATGTATGATAATACGAATAAGCGAATTATATATGACTATAAAATAGATTTATATTATAAATTTGTATTAGATATTTTTTATATGAAAAAAAAGTTTTATAATGTTAGGTTTAGGGGGGTTTACCGATATTTTTCTTCTGAAATACTAGAGTATATTTATCATAAAATGATATGTTCTTGTTTGCTTTTAGTAATTTGATATTTGTATATACTCTTATGGGAATATTTCGGCTTTGTCTTATTTTTAATTACTGTGCTCGTTATAAAATTTTAATTTCGTTTTTATTTAGTTTTAAAAACATACAAAAAGTTTTATGAACAAGCTTTGACTCCGAAAAAACTCATGCATTCATGCTTGATCATAAGACTTTTTCATTACTGTAGTCTATTAAAAGAGAAATTATTTTTTATTTATTTTTCTTTTTCGGTGGTCAATTTAATCTAGTTACATTTAAGAACTTATGTATTTTTTGCATACAGACCTATATCTTCTGTAGTTCATTTTAGTTAGTTATTTTGTTTTTATAAATTGATCTCAGTACATGTCTGGTAATTAATTGTTTATTAATGTTTTAAACCATTCAATTGATCTGACTCGTGTAAGAAATCTATACTCACTCATTTCATTATCTACCTAAAAGGAAGTTATTTATCACATTAGTCGATCATTTGAATGAAAAGTAGCTACTAAGAAATGTTTTTAGATATTTGTGAATGTCTATATCTTTAAAATATCCCCGTTAATGTAATTTTGTTTGTAATGTTTTATTAAATTTACTGTTTACTGTTGCACTAAAACGCTTTACTTTTACCAATTTTGTCAAACCATACAGTGTAATAAAATTAGAAAAAATATATTCAATTCATTCAAGAGAGATTTTTTTATGTATATTTTATTACATTGTATGATAAGGTTTTTTGGGCGTTTTCTTATATCACTCACAGTGGCGGATACAGAGAGCCCATGGGGCCCGGGCCTCCCCTAAAATGTATGATTTTTGTTAAAAATTAGGCTTTTGGGTTTAAAATGGCTCCCTGAATAGCATATTCTACATTACTTTTTATTTGGGCCCCCCCTAAATTAAATTCCTGTATCCGCCCCTGATCACTCACAAGCACTTAGTGCCTTAATGAAAGAGGAAATATCAACCTAAAGATTGAAAAATAGGTTGTGATTGTTTAGCAATATTTTAAACTTCCTGGACTGACCAAACGAAAATATTTTTCAATTTGTATATTTATGTACCTAAATAAAGGACGTTTTCTAAATAATTTAGTTATTTTATTCCCCACCAATTCTGAGGATTAATGTCAAATGAAAATAAAGTTACTAGGATATTTATTTGAATTTATATAAACATGACTGTATCAAGACATACAGGGTGTTACAAAAAACATGTGCCATCTCTTGTGGAGAGATTCCTCATGTAAAAATAAGATTTATTTTTTATATCAACATTATTTTTGATTCTGCTTTGTTTCGTGACAGTTAAAGTCTTAATTTTGCTTTATTATAATTTTCTTCAAAGCGCGTTAGGCAATTCCAATGAAAATTTGAGGGTACCAGTAGAACACTATAAATGCGATATATTTTAATGCTAAAAAAGTATCGACAGATTCACCATTGACGTGCATATGGGTTAATCAATCACCTATCGATATTTTTCTAAAAAACGTGCGCCATCAATTGTTAGCAAATTTTTATAAACCGCTTAATGTCGATTAAAAATTGTACCTTGATATAAACAAAGTGTAAAGTAAGCACTCATCGATTCCCCATCAAAAAATATGCAAAAAAGTCCCTATAAACATGGTACAGAAATTAATAAAGTCTCAAAGTTTTTAAAAAATAGGTCTTTTATATCTTATATCTTAAATGTCAATAATTTTTTTTTGATTTGCTGAAAGTAGCACTGAATATTATTGTTCGACAATTTAATAATAAATAAATAATTTATTAAATATATTTACCCGCCTACTGTTGATTTTTGTAATAATAATTTTTATTTTTATTTTATTAGGTAATTGGTGATTAATAAAATTGTATTTATCTCATCAAGGAGACCAAAATCAACAAAATACCAAAATACAGCTTTTAATCGGCATTAAACGGTTTATAAAAAATTGCTAACCAGAGAAAAAAAGTCAGTGGCGCGCATTTTTTTTTTAGAAAAAATATTCTAGTCATAACCCAGACGCACGTCCCTAGTGGAATCTGTGAACACTTTCTCTTCTGTGATTAAAATACGTCGCTCTTATAGTAACTTTTAATGTCAAAATTTCATTCGAATCACCTAAAGCACAGTGAAGAAAATTATAAATAAATATAATCAATAAAATAATAATAAATCGAAAAAAAAAGACATTAACCCTTAACCCCCTGTAGCTACGAAACAAAGCAGAATCGGACATATGTTGATATGAAAAATAAATCATTTTTACAAGGGGAATCTCCCCACGAGAGATGGCACGTTTTTTGAAACACCCTCTATAGTAAACATTTAAGTTTTTTGTAGGAATACAAAAAAAACTGAATAAAATAATCAGGAGCAAATTAGGTAAAATTAATTTTAGATCATAAAAATAAAATGTAATGAAATGGTTTAGATCTTTAATATAATAATGCTAGCACCACGTTGTGAAATTTATGACACATCTCCACAGTATTTTTAAATAAATCATCACGTGTTCATACGGTTTAGTTTTCTGTTTACTGAAAAATGTAAATTTTGAAATTCAAATACATAAATACCTATGTAAAAAATACATTAAAACAATCAATATATTTTTAAAATGTCAGTACCCCTAGCCAAAAATAAACTTATAAAAATAAATCAATTCAGCCAGCAATAATAGAGAAAATTCTGGAATGAAAATTTTCCAATAAAAGAAATATATTATATTTCATATCATTAGGCTATAAACTGTGAGATTGTTTATTTAGTAATATTTAAATTATTATTATCTGGATGAGTACTTGTTTTCGTCAATGAAATTTGAGGTATTTTAAATGAAAAATTGAAAATGCGCCGACTCGGTCGAAGTCGTAGAATTTCCGATACGTCATGAAAATAATCGGCTACGAAGGAAAGATCGGAGCTTAAACTCGTAGATTCTTCCTTTTTGACTGGCTCGTCGCCCGGTGCGGTTGCCGTCTCGTTAAGTTGTTGAATTTCAAGTGTTCCTTATATTTAAGTTTTATCAACTGTTGCATTTATTTAATTCCAAACAGTAAGTAGCTCAACGTTTATATTAAACAATTAAATATTAGTGAATTAGATTGTTTTGCCAATTTTGCTGGAAATGTCCATTTCATCGGTCGTGCACCACGTGTACACTAAAGTTCTTCTCCAATGGCCGCCATATGTTGAAATTGTCTTTTAAATCACTTTAAACTGTTCTTTTCTACCGTTATCCACTACTAATTTCTTTATAAGATATGTACTTTTAGTTAAATTATCATTTTGTCTTAGTAAACCTATATGTTAATGTGGTAAATATGATCGGCAAATGCCAGAGGTGACTAATTAGTGTTAATAATTGCTTTCTTTCTGTAATTTCCACCTGTTGGTTTTTGCAAAGCCTTTAAAGTTTTATAATTTCTATTAAGTGTTTGTATTTTTATTTGTTTCTTTTGCAGGTCAACATGGGTAAAGAAAAGACACATATTAACATTGTAGTCATTGGTCACGTAGATTCTGGTAAATCTACCACTACCGGCCATTTGATCTACAAATGTGGTGGTATCGACAAACGTACCATCGAAAAATTCGAAAAGGAAGCCCAGGAAATGGGTAAAGGTTCCTTCAAATATGCTTGGGTATTGGACAAATTGAAAGCTGAACGTGAACGTGGTATCACTATCGATATCGCCCTGTGGAAATTTGAAACAGCAAAATACTATGTCACCATTATTGATGCCCCTGGACACAGAGATTTCATCAAAAACATGATTACTGGAACATCTCAAGCTGATTGTGCTGTACTTATTGTTGCTGCTGGTACTGGTGAATTTGAAGCTGGTATTTCTAAAAATGGACAAACTAGAGAGCATGCTTTACTTGCTTTCACCCTTGGAGTAAGACAACTTATCGTTGGTGTGAACAAAATAGACTCCACTGAACCACCATACAGTGAAGCTCGTTATGAAGAAATCAAAAAGGAAGTCTCTTCTTACATTAAGAAAATTGGTTACAACCCAGCTGCTGTAGCCTTTGTGCCAATCTCAGGATGGCATGGAGACAACATGTTGGAACCCTCAACCAAAATGCCATGGTTCAAAGGATGGGCTATTGAACGTAAAGAAGGAAAGGCTGAAGGAAAAACTCTTATTGAGGCTTTGGACGCTATTCTCCCACCTTCTCGTCCTACAGACAAACCTCTCCGTCTTCCACTCCAGGTAAATAAAACTTAGCTTTGTCAAGTTGTGCAAATCTAATTAACTTCATGTTTATTTCAGGATGTTTACAAAATTGGAGGTATTGGAACAGTACCCGTCGGTCGTGTTGAAACTGGTGTCTTGAAACCTGGAATGGTTGTTGTCTTTGCCCCTGCCAACATTACAACTGAAGTAAAATCTGTTGAAATGCACCACGAAGCTCTTGCAGAAGCTGTACCCGGAGACAATGTTGGTTTCAACGTAAAGAACGTCTCAGTCAAGGAATTGCGTCGTGGTTACGTCGCTGGAGATTCCAAGAACAACCCTCCCAGAGGAGCTGCTGACTTCTTGGCACAAGTTATTGTACTCAACCACCCTGGACAAATCTCCAATGGTTACACCCCTGTACTTGATTGCCATACTGCCCACATTGCTTGCAAATTCGCGGAAATTAAAGAAAAGATCGACCGTCGTTCTGGTAAGACTACTGAAGAAAACCCCAAAGCCATCAAGTCTGGAGACGCAGCCATTGTCACATTAGTACCTACCAAACCGATGTGCGTAGAATCCTTCCAGGAATTCCCTCCTCTTGGACGATTCGCCGTGCGTGACATGAGGCAGACTGTTGCTGTAGGTGTCATCAAGCAAGTTAACTTCAAAGACGCTGGTGCCGGCAAAGTTACGAAAGCCGCAGAAAAAGCTGCTAAGACCAAGAAGTAGTCTCGGAAGATTTTTTATAATTATTCAATTTTTATTAAAGTGTTTAATATTTTTAATTTAAAATGACTTGTGATTACAGTTTTTCTTTCAGACCAATAAATAAGATTTCCTAATATCTATATTTCATTTCCCGTTCCTATTCTATTAATTTAATAGTAAGCTTTTATTTTAATTAAAAATAGCCGTAAATAGCTAACTAGCTCTATGTTTACACTGAAATTTAAAAAAAAATTGTAACTAGCAAACTTGTTCAACGAAGTTTCGAAAATATAGATAGGCTTCTTAACACAATGGCGAATGCGCTGGGCGAAAAATCAATTCTAAAATTGCTTTTATTGTTTACAATAATACTTATATATATCGGTATAATTAACGTAATGAAGGTTTTAATTCTAAGTTTTATAAAGTATATATTTTTTTTGAAAAGCTAAAATAATCGGAAAACGACTTCCGGGGATTTTTTGAAGAGAATGGGTGGCTCCAATAGTTGCGCACGCACCCTTTTAAGGCGCTGGCTCCATATTTTATTTTATACATCAATGACAACAATTGTCAATTCAGTGTAGGAACCACCGCTAGGTGTCTTCTTCCATGTTGCCAGATTTGGGAGAAGTATAATTTCACCAGAGAGGGGAAAATGATAGAATTATGCTTATGAATATGAACAAGCAGATGTTTTTAAAGCTTGCTTATTTTACTCTTCATTTAACATAAATAGTTACTTTGAATGCTTTATTTTTTATTCTAGTATACATATTTTATTTTAAGTGCTATTATTGGAGTGTCCATTCATACAGTGTATTGATAGTATCTAATAATAAATAATATAAAATAAAAATAAATCTAATAAAAAAATTGAACACTTAAATTGAAAGTAGCTGTAGTTAATTCTATTGAAAAAAATACCCGGTTATTTCCCCAAAAAATAGAGGAAGAAAAAGAGGTAGAGATGCGGCAGCATTGTAAGTGGTGTTGTCAAAATTTTTCAACCAATGAGGATCCATGTCATCCAAAATAGTCGGAATCGGTGGTGCAACGAAAATAACGTTGGCAACACTGGATTTCAGAGTGATTGGAGCTGTTATGGAGATGTTTGTTCGATAATGTCGTAGAGAGTTTCGAAGAAATTAAGTTTTATATCGTAATGAAGTGATGTGTAACAATTAAAGTGATTTGTGACTCTTAGTTGATGTTAAAAACGCAATATTTTAAAGAAAGGAACAGAAATTCTGTACTTAAAGGACGTGCATTTACTTTCATAATTTCGAAGGTATTATTGTCAATTCCTGGTATTATGCTGCATCAGAGGACATAAGTATGTTATTTTATTTTGTATACTTTTCTAGGCTTATTTTTCTTCTTGAGCTTCTCGTTCTTTAACTAGTCCCTTTTCATATCTGTTAAAATTTAGTTGGTTTGTTTGTAGCCATAATTTAGAATAGAAAAATATATTTCCTATTGGTATTAGAGACCCTATAAAACCATTTTAAAATACTATTTCATTTACCACCAGATATTAAAATATCTATAAAGTTGAAACATTATTAAATTCATATACAGGGTGAGTCTCAAATAAGTGCAAATATTTTAAGTAGTAGTTTAAAAGTTTTTTAGTTTCCACTGGTTTTTAAAATTTAAGCGAAAAATCATGGTTTGATTTTCAAAGTAAAATATCCCGGTTATTTTGGACTTTGAAAAACCGGAGACTTTGAAAAGCCCTGAAAATTTTTGCACTTCTTTAAGACTCACCCTGCATAATTCGGCTAGGAGGTTTTCTGGCATATTGTAATTATTAAAAATTCAGGGTATACCTACATTTCTTAGAACTGTCAGTACTACAAGGGTACTACTTAACCCTGTACAGCTGAGATCTAACTATTTTTGTAACAACTTTTAAGTAGATTAATGATCTTTTTAGTTACTTCATATGTTTCTGTAACATTGATTTTAATAAATCTTTATTTTATGTTTGTTGATATGCTGCTGAAAATAGTTATTTACATACATTAATTAGTTATTTGTTTACCAGTTATTTTCTCATATGTGTCTGTATGAAAACATAAAACATAAACTTTTTGTGTATTATTGGAATCAACACTATGATAAGGTCTGAACAAAATTAGGGGTTTAAAAGTCCCAAGCAACAAAATAAAATCTACCTGATGGTCTTTTAGGTTCTGTAAGTAAGCTGGATTATTGTATACAAAAGCACGTTTTTGGACCTTTAACAGTTTTTGATGGTTGTTTTTTGAAGGGACCTAATCCTCAAGAACTGATCTATTTCTTACCAAAATCTTATATTCTCTACTTATTGAAAATATGTTTATTATGACGTAGGTAATGTTAATCATTTGAAAATCTTCCCCTCTGAGATTTAAACAAAATCTCTAAGATAATATATTATGAATTGAATATAGCCAGAAAATCCCACTAGAAATTAACGTAACAAAATTTCTAAGAAATATTGACATAGATTAATTATTGCAAATTTTATCAAAACATTACACAGTGCCGGTTTTCTTTAATTTTCTCATTTTTTTTGTAAAATCTAGCATCAGATTACGCATATAATCATATTATTCCTAGGTCATAATATTAATATGTATTGTTTGATTATTTACTCTGCAAAGAAGGGGGATTTTTATACTAATTATTTTTTATCAACACCGGTATTATTGTTTCATTTTCCTAATTGATTTTCAAAATGTGTCTATATTGCCACGAAGCAGAGTATCTCATATCTGTGACTTTTTAAGTTAATTAAAAAACAGAATAATCTATTAATACGAGTTTTCCTTGCCGTAAACGTATACAATATAAATTCCTCGATTTATTTAAGAGAGTCTATATAGGAATAATGATTTCAAGTGAAAAATCGCAAGCAGAATTTCAGGAAACCGAATATTTTTGAATCGAAAACTCGATCGCTTCAAACAAACCGTAATAATTTTCAATAAATAGTTCTAAAAATTAATAATTCTAAGTAAACAAAACGGTAAATGCAATAGGTCGTAATAAACTAGGAAATCTATTATTCAATAGAGTTTTCTAGGAATTCTTTACAAACTGCTAGCTATAATTTTTGATTTTGTATAACAAAAGGGTAATAATTGCAGTAGTTTTTATCACCAGAAAATACAAAAAGGTTTTTGAGATATGTTTTTATTGGACTTAAAAGCCTTTGTACTTTTATCAACTCACAAAAAATTTAGCTAATTTGGAATACAGGGTGAGTTTTAAATAAGTGCAAATATTTTTTGTGTAAGTGCAACACGATCTTGATGTTTTTTTCGCCAAAAAAGTTTGGAAATTTGGAATTTTCTGAAAAATTTGTTGTATTTTTTTTTAGTTTTTAGTTAAAAACCATAATTTCTTGATACTATGGCAACATAGGTAGTAGATTAAATTTACAAGACAGAAAACCCAGGGAAGATACAGTGGTTTTCAAAATGTAAGCAAAAAATCATTTTTTTTTAATTTTCACAGTAAAATAATTCGGTTATATTGGACTTATTTGAAAAACGGTAAAGAGAAAATATGTTTCTTTTATCGAGATCTACCAAGACTCTATCGAGACTCACCCTGTATAAAAATTACATTTTTTACATTGGAAAATTTTTAAAAAATTAAAGTCCCGTCTACACATCACGTTTTACCTGTCAGACAAGACGGTGAAAGATGGTTGAAAAGAAAAAAAACATGGTATTTTACTACAAAATTGTATTATTTATGGCTTAAATTTGATTTGTAAACGCGCAAAGCTAATTTTGAAAATTATATCGTTTGATAATAATACTTAAATATTTCTAAACAATTTTATAAACATTATTTTCTGAGATTATGCAAAACTATTAGATTTAAGTCGTTTATTAAAGATCCTGTAATATATTCATATTATTTTGTGTCAATTTACTTATGCTTTTTAGTGTAGGTAGAACGACAGTTTTTTTTGTAAAATTGAATGATCCCGTCAATTCACTAGACAGCCTTAATTCAGTTAAAGTAAACGGAATGTTTTTTCGTCTACGCACAAGGTGTTATCACAGTTTAAAGAATATAAATATGGTTTGGTTAATTACTACTACTTTAATATTATATACTTAATATCCTAAACTATATAAACATATACCTTCCTTCATCTTTTGGGCACCTAAAGAACGATATATTGTCTGTCATTCTACTTTCACAACCATCCACTGCACAAATATTTCTAGTAGACATTTTATTCACAATTCGAACAAGACAACTAAAACACTATTTTTGGTTCACCATATGCGTCGGACCGAAAACAAAACTAAAATAAACTTGGAACGCTGTGTACACGTCGAGCAACGGATGTAGACTGACCCAAGTCTACAAGACAGGCGGGGAGCGGCGGCAGGAATTTTGATACGGGCGAAGAGTGAGCCAACTGATATATTTATATTCTTTAAACTGTGGTTTTATTTGATACGTTTTGACTGACCAGGTAAAACGTTATGTGTGTATGGGGCTTTAAAATCAGTAAGTAAATCAAATCAGACTTAAAAATTGAAAATATCTTTAAAATTGTTCAAAGGCAAAGATATTAAACATTTTGTATTAAGATTGTATTAAGAACAACTTATAGAGAGGTTTTTTTAAATGTTTTTTTGTAGATTTGTAGACATTTTTTGTAGCTTACTATAGTGCATTCGAAAATGCACGAGATCACAAGAACAATTTAAATAAAGTACTCACCTTTATGTATGGTGGATTCATTTCTGGTAACATGGCCACTGAAACAAAAAGAAAATATTTTAAAATAATGTCTTAACTATAGATATACCGGGTGCGTCTCAAGTCAAAAGTGGCTCAACCCTATAACTTTTTTATTTTTTTGAGATAATAACACGAGATTTGGTATGTTAGTACAAAAGTACGACCTAAATTAGGATTCATTGCCGTATTCAGTTGTCTTTGGTCACTTCCTATTTCACCGGAAATGGCTACAACTTTTGATTTTTAAATGGCGCCCTCGGTATATTTTTACTTTATTCGATTGAAAACGACACTATGAATAGAATGACATATCATATGTCAACTTTTGACATTTTCGCTTTAAAAAAAATCGTATTTTAATTTCAATCTAGACTGCCATGGCTGTGCTCAAAAGCTATTTTTTAATCAAGGAGTCTTGGAAAAATAGTTTTGATCGTCTAATGTTTTTCGTGTCTTGTCCTGGCCGGTTAAAAAATGCCCAAATCATATTTTTAATCATATCTCAATTTTTCAAATGGAACGATTTTCAAAATTTTATTTTGAAAATTTGGAATTGTTTGAAAAAAACCGTTTAATTTATAGTTAAAAACATAACAAAATATACTCATAATATACTAATATGGCAACATAGGTAGTATATTAAATTTACAAGAAAACCCAAAAAAGATCCAGTGGTTCTCAAAATTTCAGAGAAAAATACTACATTGTTTATGAAATTTTCAAAGTAAAATATCTTGGTTATTTTGGACTTATTTGAAAAACGGTAAAGAGAAAATGTTTTTCTTTTATCGAGATCTACCACCCCCGAAAATATTTGCACTTATTTTAGACTCACCCTGTATATTGCTTAACCGTCTCACATTTAGATTATGTCTAACACCATTTTGTTTTTCAAATTCTTAGATTGTCCACGTATTTGGATTCTGTTTTTCTACGAGTTGAACCAAAAAAATTGAAAATTTGTATTCACCATCAAGGGGCTTTGCTTTACTAACGGGTTTCGTGTATACCTCTGAATACCCAATTGCCTGTCTTTATTCCGTTGAATTGTGACTCTTTGACATGGCCAGCTTATTTATATTTATTCACGGATATCTATTTAGAATTTTAAAAGAATATTTGATATTGCCGACAAATTTAGTCTAGTATTCTTACAGTATTCTCATTTGTATCAGAGATTTCAAGAATACTGTTCGGTTAAAGTGTCTCTGTGATTTAATTTTATAACAAGAAGCACTGTAGATGTTAAAAGAAAATCAAATTGTTGGTAAGACCTCTAAAGAGAAATTTTTACTATCTTAAAATATTGAAAATACTTCTACAGAAAATTCTAATTTTTATCTTATAAAAAAAGGGATGCTTTCTTTCAAAAAGGAATACAAATCTACTTGTTATTCTTGCATGTTTACCCAAGCTGTTTTTTAACGTTTATGCTAATCTTATCTGGTGGATTTCTACCGGAATTGCAGAACGGATGTAATCAATAAGGATAATACATATATTTGCTTTATTTACTGCAGCTTTGAGGCATGATCCAGCAAAAGCGACGAACAAAATATTTTTACTCTCATTCTT